GGAAGTGAAACATTTAAGGTTCATGATTGATGATTGATCTTTGATTGCCGTTGCCTAGGTTTAGACTAATCAAGATTAGACTAATCTAAGATATCTTGTGGGCCCTGCTTAGTAATTCCCACAACCCAACTCATGATGAAAATTAGAGTGCGTTTTCTATCAGAGAGAGCCCTACACGGTGCGGGGTTCTAATATATAAACAATTTTGAAAGATGAATTTGATAGTAGACGATAAGTAAATTAAAACAGCCGTCATTTGTCATTTTTACAACTGAGTGTCAACTATTGTATTTTGCAATAATAAATAAATGGTCCATTTAATCAGATACTCCTAGTTCATTTTCAAAGGTAGTTATATTGCCACATGATGTGGTCTACCTAGAAAAGATAATCATTGGTGATAACTAAAGAACAATGGTCTTTCGACTTATCTTTTCAATTATGGAATGTGATTTATACTCCTCTCTCATAAAAAGTAAGGTTTTGATGCTTTAATCCTACATTTCCTTTCAAGGTTTAGGATGAACAAATGAAATATAAACTAGGGGTTTTTATCTTTTAACCCAAAGTTTTACCCTTACTTATTTAAAAACCCACTCACTTCTATAAATGCACATACTTTCGAAGTATCTCATATGACTTATTTTAAACCCAATCTATAGTATACCCTCAAACTTTATATTGTATAAAAATTCCAAAATAGCCCTTTCCTTGCTTCTTCTAAGCAATGATCATCTTTCCATTGTATTAATGGTGATTACGGGAGAAGTTAATTTTCGCACATTGCTTTTTTTACTTGCCAGCCCCAAATTTAACATACCCATCTTCTTCAAAATTTCTCTTTCCTTCATCAATATTCCATCACTTCCTTAGCCTCCATTAAATTTCTCTTCGTAAAAGACATTAATTTGATTTTAATGTGGTTTCTATTTGCAATCATTAAATAGTCTTTTTTATAGTCACAAAACTAGTAAAGAGCTATACTATACCAATAAAGAGATGCATTTTAGTTGTAGGAAGCTATAATTTTGTATGTGGTGCTATACTTTTCTTATAAGAAGCTATGTTTCCGAATAAAGTATTATACTTTACTCAACCAAAAATTAATAACATTAAACTTTTATATTTTTATGTTAATTAGTCCAATGAATATTAAATCTTCCTCTATTTTTCCAGCAATTTTCTTGATGACATAGAACACACTATTGATTTCTTTCCTATAGTCCCAGAATCAATAAAGAGCTATCTTATAACGATAAAGAGATACACTTTAGTCATAAAGAGCTATGCTTCATTATCAGGTGTAATATTTTACTCCTAAAAAGCTATGTTTTCGTATAAAGTGTTACATTATGGTCTGCTTTTGTAGATTTTAGGGATTAACTTCACCTAAAACTTAGGGCTCGGCTCTTTGAGTTTAGTGCTTTGTAAACTGTAGGAAGAGAGAAAAGAGAGAACTGGTGGGTTTATTTTGGGGAAGAAGGACAATTTATGATTTTTTTTAGAAAATACAATATAAAGTTTGAGAGCATAATACCAGTTGGGTTTATAAATAAGTCACATGGGGTAATTTGGGTGTGTGTGTATTTGTGGAACCGGGTGGGTTTTTTAACAAATGGTGGTAGAACTTTGGGTTAATAGACAAAAACCCTATGAATTATTGGTGCACGATGCAATAGCAATTATGTACAATTGACTAATAGCAATTATGTACAATTGATGACTCGGGTTTTGCAGGCAACCCCTCCCCCCCCCCAACACACACACACACCTTTTTCTTTCAAATTTGGTGGGAGAGAATCTCTTTAATGGCCCTTGATCTGCCTGCAAAGCCCAAATGAAAATTGCGAACCAAATTAGCTAAAGTGGTTTAAGTTGAATTCTGATATTGGCGTTTTGGGGATTTAAAAATTAGTGAGTGCAAGTTAGGTGCAAAAAGTGCTGCAATGTGCAACGTGCACAATAAAACACAGGATATGTCAGATTCATAATAGTACTGCAGGTAAAAAGATCTGGTTTGGTTAGATATTTAACGTGTATGAACATAAAAAAACATTTAATACTCTCATTGCATATTAGAAAAATCCATAGCTTTTTGTGTGAAAGGAAAAGCGAAAAAAAAAAGCTCTATTTTGATTGACTACAAACATAGGAGTTGTTTGACATCGGGCTAAGTGATGAGTTAAGGAGAGGAACCTTCTCTAACCTGCCATACAAAAGTTACAGGGTGACTAATTTAATTTTTCAAACATTAAAACGATCCTAACTGGCTAACTAATTTAATTTTTCATGCTAACAAACAGATTAACATATATTATACAGACTAACTATGTTAGTCATTCTCCTTAATAGCGCTGGACCGAACTCTGAAAGGTATTCCTCTCTTTGTAGCTTGATAATGATATCCATGACAGCTCCAATTATCAGAGGCTTAAAGTCAAAGAGTTGTAAGATATAACTGTTTCAGCTTCAGAACCTATTAAGAAAACTGGCTCCAAGGAATCCAATCTCTACCGAAATTCATTAGCATCTTGACAAAAGGAGATTCAGTAAGACATGAGATCATCATTCTCAAGTTAAAATCACTGGCTCTGAAAATGAGAGCCCTGTGTAGTAGGGACCAATACCATCAGTAAAATAATGAGTATGGACGTTAAGTCCCAACTCCACACAGAGACTTAAAGCATTCACTTTCGCGAACCCATACTAAACTAATTTTGACCTAAAACAGTTTAGTCAGTGTAGAAAATAACACATTCCGTAGCGTAAAATAGCGCATAGCATAACGTAGCGCTGGAAAATAGCACATAAATAAAATAACGTACGCTATTTTACCCATTGCATACGCCTTGTAACACGTCTTCATAGTGCTCCACAGCTTAGGTTAAATTGTTCAAGAGCTAGGATTGATTTTTAAAAGAATTTGATGGTTATGATTGAGTTTAAGTGGGTGGACCTCATGCCTAAACCCTAAATCCTTGCTCCCATGGCTTCTGCCCCTCCAGATAAAAAAAAACCCTTCCTCCGTATTCTTCTTCCTTCGACTTCGATTCATCAACTTCTTCCTTCAACATCGACTCATCAATTCCTCCGGCTCGCCATACTCGTCTTCACCATCGTCATCATCTCCGTTGCTCCCAGAGATCCCCGATCGACTTCTGAACTCTTCGTGCCCAGTTGAGGACCATTCGACTTTTGAAACCATCAATGTATGATCTTGAATACTGATTTAAGTTCATTTAACTTACTCATGGTTGTTGTGAAACTGTGATGATATATTGATTTGTGATAATATTTTTATAATATTTTTAAAAATTGTGATGATTATTCATATTATTTGATTTTAAATATTCATGTATCTATAAAATATTTAAATAATAATAAATTATTTAACCTACATTAAAAGTTACGCTACTTTGCGGGTTATGTTAACCGGAAGTGAGTGTTACGCTATGCATTATCGTTATTTTCAACATTGAGTTTAGTTTTGACTCACGGAGGACCAAAACAAAACCAGTTTAACGCCACAATTGGCCTGACAAAACCAATTTAAGTCCCAGTCCTCGTTCTATTTTTTCTCGTTTTCCGCCAAACTAGAGCAAGGACTTGAACTGATTTTGTTCCACTAAACAAGTTTAACCCTAAACCCCACTAAAAAAATGAAGAAGAAGAAGAAGAAGAACAAATGGCATGTTGGGGACCCAAATTCCACATGCTACAAGCTTTTCACAGTGGGCACGGAGCATGGGCACAACCCAAGTGAAGACAACTTGAAGTGGACACGGCACAGAAGCCTAGAAAGATGGAAACAATCATATACAGTGATCATTAGATCTCAAAGCCTCATGGCTTCCATCAATCGCAATCCAAGAGCATCTTTGTCATTCCATGATTGGATTATCAACGCAAGGTCCAAGCACATATGCTCATCTTTCAATTCAATGGATCTCTGCAAAAGATTCATAAGCTGCTGCTGCGTAGTCCCAATAGGAAAAGAACGGGATGCATTCGCACAGGAGGTATAGCAAAAAATGAGCCAGAAGTATACATCTAGAGTCCGAAGGTCCCCACAGGATAACAATCAGCAGAACAGACACTAGAAGAGACATATATGAACAGATTCCGCAATATTTTAGAAAAGAACAGAAAACATTTGCACGGGAGATGAAGAAAAAGTGAGCTAGCAGAATGAAAAACTATACGTGTAAGAGTATGAAGGTCCCCACATGATAACAATCGACAGAACAGGCACTAAAAGAGACATATATGAACAGATTCTGCAATATTTTCATCAATCTTAGCATAAGAACAGTAATGGGCATACTTGAATCTGAATTTAGAAAGTTGAAACTTCAAACTAACTAAAAAAAATGAACATTTAGGCTAGTAGCAGAGACCACCAATAGATCCAACTGCAGGTTAATCACTTCATAGTAGAATGAAGTACCGAACGCAGACTAAAACATTAAGGTGAAAGGAAAAATCTGGACGCAATGGGAAAGAGGAGGGCAGACATGGAGATAAAATAGCTTGACATCTATATTTCCCCTCCCCTCTTGAATCTCTCTGTTCTTTTCTCCTCCTCATCAAAAATCATATAAGCATTGTTTTCTCCTCCCTTTTTTCTCCCTTCTTTTGTTCCTCATTTTTTATCAGCAGACTTTTGCATATCCTCCTTTCTAAACTTCACTCTCCCCATCATTCATCATAGACATATATCTTTTTTCCCCTTTGTTTTCTTTTTTGCATTTTCCTTCTCTTTCTCAAATATTTTTTTTTCCAAAGGAAAAAGGAAAATCAATGGAGAACTAGCCGAACATAGAGGAAGTCAGCTCGTCGTAGAATCCTCCATTCAATCTTTATAGCAATAATATGATCAGCTAAAAATACTCTTGAATATTTGACAAAAATAAACTACTTATCAGTACCAAGTCAAAGGGGGACGGAATGAACTAACTAATTCAGTTACAATCTTCAAAGGAAAATTACATGTATAAAAATAAATACAAACCCAAGTTGGGAGACAAGCAATTACGATTAACTTCTCATTTTGTTTCCTTAAATAACAGGGAAGACCCAAGATTTTGTATTAAACATTGTTCCTAAAACATACAAAAAAATACTCAAATTTGTATTCCTGGAATAATCTCAAATCTTGAAGATAAACAATTCTCCACCCACCAAAAAAAGATATGAATTTACATAAAGATTTCGATTACAACTACCTTGGAAGCAAAGGTCAATCTGGTAACTCTGCAGCATAATTGAACAAAAAAAAACAGCAGCATTGAAGTCATTGTTGGATGATTATACTGCATAAAAACGCAAAATAATTATTGGTTAAGCAAAGGGAAGCAGAAAATAATAATAACAGGTCTATGGACAAGAAAAAACTATCTAGAGGTAGTAACCTCAATAATTGGACCAAAGAAGTTTACTAGATTTATATCCAGATAACTCTGCAACTGACTTTGAAAGTTATAATCATTTACGAAACGCAAGGATCTCAAGTAATATAATGACAACTCTGAAAAAGACCCTTGACGTAAAACAACAATAGAACGTCGCAATAGAATGCAGCAAGAATTAAAACTCGCAAGATAAACAAAAGAACTAAAGAATATAATCGTTATCATCAAAATTGAAGATGACGACAAGGGATGAGGATGAAGTCATGGAGACGTAGAATTATTGCCACTGTTATTATTGGAGCAGCCGAAAATTTTCATGAAGGATACTTCAACTTACAAGTCTGAGCACTGAGATGACAGTTAAGATATAGAAGAATGAGACTTTTGATTGGAATTTTTCTTTCAGTTTTACATGAGATAAAATTATTGTTTTTGGTTTATGCCTGAAATAAAGTTATTGGTAGTTTCTAACTTACTAAACTCTTGTTTACTTGCTTAATCACATAGATGATTGCATCTTATATGGACTGTTGGCGTTTTAGTGAGCTGACCAAGTAGCGACACTTATACTTCTTTTTCGCTATTATAAGCTTTCAACAGGTTTCAACTTTCTATGTTATTTGTTTATATTTATTGATTAACACGATTTGATGATTATACTCCATTATAATGGGCAAACTTAGGTTGACGTTTCTTAAACCATACTTTGACCCATTGTTATTATAGGTTGCCATGAATTTAGGTATATATTGCCTCATTATAGATATCAGTACTTCAATCATCAGCGCGCCCCACGCAACTGCAATCACTAATTTTTCCTTTAAGATTTTTAACAAAATGATAGTTTATAAACCTAAGACGAATCAAAATAATTGCACGTCATTATTGAAAATGAATTTTTTTTTCCTTTTTGGCCAAATTTCGAGGGGTTTTCAAACATACTGGTTGAGAAACTATGATTCCTAAAAGTGGCTTCGCAACTAATGTCCAGAAAGCAATGTTGGATAATTTTAGTTGGATAATTTCTGAAGTAGAAAGGTGAAAAGGAGATCTTAAATCTAAAGAAATTATAATTAGTACAAGAAAAAACAGAATACATGAAATGCAAATGTAGTAAGATTGTGAAAAAGAATGAGTATATATAGTACAAAATGATGACCAACAAATATCTAGGAGTAACCACTTCTGACATATCGATCATTTGCAAAAGATGGTAAAATTGAGGATGATGCAGTTCATTAAATTAAACTGGAGTGATAAAAGGGGAGCAAAGCTATTACAGTCCTGTGATCATAGGATTCCTATCCAAAGTGCTCCATCATACAAGTGAAGAATAAGTTGCTCATGACATCATCACGGTCTTAACTTTTATTAAAAAATATTACCATATAAAACAGCAATTGAATCTTTTATTTTGCAAAACTTCTCCAAAAGAAGTTGGTTTCTATTAAGTCGTAATTCTTCTTTCCGGTTATTTACATAGGCGGATATTTAGAACAATGAGCCTTATATAAAATCCCAAGGATTTTCATCCTAAGTATCCAAAGAAGATCTTTAATTTTCCTAGGATATAATTTTGAAACTCATTTCGCCTCAAAGAACGGTCAACGAATATCAATTTCGTAGGAAATTGAAACCATAAGTTCAACAACCAGGGAAAAGAAGCAATAACTATGTCCACAATGATGGTCATCAACCTCACTGTAAGCTTCTAAGACTTTTCCAAGAAAGATAGGATCAGCTATGACTAAATACAAGAGAGCTCCAAAAACGGATCCGATGGAAATTAAACTGGATGTCAACTTACATAAACAACTCTTAATTTTAGGTCATAGCTTTAACTTTAAGAATTTAGATATATATTTCCTCCATAAAACTACCTATTAGACAATGTCTTGTGCCCAGGTTGCCCATGCTATAAAGACTAGGAGCCTAAAGTAGGAGCCAGACCTCACCTATGTTGGAAGATAGTAGGGATACTTCACTTTCGCCCAAGCTGACTCACACTTTACTAAATTTCTCAAATCATTTCATAATGCCAAGTAAAAAATAAAAAAATAAAAACACACACACATATGGGAATGATGGGTATGAGGTGGCGGCTTTTTAATGAGCTATCAATATATAGAGTTATGAGGTCCACACATTTTGATGTGACTACCAAGGTGGACCTCACCCACATGACTATCTCTTGATAACTCATTTAGCAAAATGAGCTGCCACCTCATACTCATTATTACACACATGTCTCTCTCTCTCTCTCTCTCTCTCTCTCTCTATATATATATATATATATATATATATATATATATATATATATATATATAGAGAGAGAGAGAGAGAGAGAGAGAGAGAGACATGTGTGTAATAATGAGTATGAGGTGGCAGCTCATTTTGCTAAATGTGCTTTGGGAATTTAGCGATCCTCATGGGAACTTGAGGATAGATGATTCTTATGGTTGCTTGAGAATAGAAGCGTGGGCAGAGTTGGCGAAAACGGTGAAAATCAGGAAAAACAGCAAAAAACAGGAAGATGACGAAACAGCTCTGGTCGGTCGACTGATGGGCTAGAATCGGTCAACCGATGAAGCACTATCGATCAACCGATTAGCCATCATCAATCGACCGATAGACTGATACGCTACAGGGTCAGAAAACATAATTCTGAACGGTCGACCGATGCATCCTTATCGGTCGACTGATGGAGGCCGATCGGTCGACCAATATAGGTACATCAGTCGATCGGTATCAGGTCTAGGTCGATCCTGATTCCTAGCCGGTTTTAGGGTTTGTATAAATAGAAACCTAATTGATTCGGGATTTCTAAGCAGAAACTCGTGAGATTTGTTCTTTATTCTAGGGAGATTGTGAGGAGAGATTTGTACATAAGTGATCTTCAAAATCTAGAGAATGTATTTTACTTCGTCATATCGAATTGTTCTTGTGTTTTGTTATTTTTTTCTTCTCAAACACCACCTTTGATAATTCCGCGATCAAATGTGCTCGCATGGCGACTCGCATCAAGTTGGTATCAGAACAATTAGATCCTGTGAAGGGGTATCCTGTGTATGGTCCTTACTCAATCGCAGTACAAGAAGCTAGGCGAGATTCTTGTTTCTTTGGAAGAAGTCCAGAAATCAAGTAAGAAGAAAAAGATGGCTGAAAACGACAATTCATCCAGACTTGATGTGGTGGAGAAACAGATCGAGACAATCAAATCGACGCTCACGAAGCTCGTCGATCTTATCTAAGGAGGTGACAAAAAGGTTGAATATCCGTCGGGGTCAAAGAAGCGACCCGTAGAATCCGATGGAGAGAGTGAGAATTCTTGCGACGAGGTTGAAGTCGTCAAGACCGTTCCACATCAAGGGGGTAAGGGTTCTTACAAGAATTTGAAGATCGATTTCAAAGTGGAGATACCTGTTTATGATGGGAGATTCAACGTTTAGAGGCTTGACGGTTGGATTGAGCGTATAGAGACCTATTTTACTCTTTATGACTGTTCGTCTAAGGAGAAGATCGTTTTCGTGACACTAAAGCTTTCTGGACATGCTTTGACGTGGTGGAAGTCGTACTGCAAGCAGAAGAAGAAATCTGTGTTGTGAAGCAGGTTCAAGGAGCTACTGAAGAAGCAGTTCTACTCGGTGGGGTTCCTTGAAGAGCGTTGGTACAAGTGATACGGGCTTGCACCAACGATTCAATCAAACCGTTCAAGAGTACAATACAGAGTTTCAACAGCAGGCTATGATCCTCAACATTGCGACGGAGGAGTATCCTGTTTTTATGAAGTATATGACGGGTTTGAATGAATACATCTGGAAGGAGCTGAAGTTATTAACGGTTGAGTCGATTGCAGAGGTGAGCATGAAGGCTATTGTCGAGGTCACATGCGACGTCGTTCCATTGGACGTTTGTCAGGTCATACTGGGCAACCCTTATTTGTAGGATACGTACGCAGTATACGACAGACGAGCCCAAAAGTACACGTTCACCAAGGACGACGAGCAGTTCATATTTCGTTCGACATCTCTTCCACAAGAGACAAGCTTGGTAACGGTGACTCAGACGAAGAGACTAGTGAATGCAAGTAAGAAGTTTGTCTTATTGTTCATTAGGCCTTACGAGGAGCAGCTATGTAGAGTATGCTTGATTGCCTTGAACAAGCTTCAAGAGGGAGATCTTGACAGGTTAAAGGCCAAGTATGCAGGCTAAGTATGCAGATTTGTTTTCAGAGATCACTGGACTACCGCCAAGACGGAGTATGGAGCATGAAATTATGTTGACGGGAGAGAGTTCTTACCGAATATAGGTATTTACCACACATCCGTACAGGAGTCCAAGGAGATAAATAGGCAAGTTCAGGAGCTTCCGAAGAAAGGAGTGATATTGCCACGTTGTTCGCATTGCGGGTCGCCAATGTTGTTGGTGCCTAAGAAAGATGGAGGCTGACGCATGTGTGTGGATTACCGGACGCTCAACAAAATAACGGTAATGAATCGTTACCTACTACCACGGATCGATAATATTATGGACCAGTTGGAGAGAGCGAGGTTTTTCACAAAGGTGGATCTTAAATATGGTTACCATCAGGTGAGGATTTGGGAGGATGACACTTGGAAAACTACGTTCAAAACTAAACATGACCTGTTTGAGTGGTTGGTGATGCCGTTCGGATTGTGTAACGCTCCAGCAACCTTTATGAGACTGATGAATGATTTGTTGCGGCCTTTTATGAAGGATTTTATGATACTTTACCTCGATGACATTTTGATGTACAGCAGGACCTGGGAGGAGCATATTGTTCATATCGAGAAGGTATTTGAAGTGCTGCGAAACGATCAGCTGAGCTCAACGGGAAGAAATGCGAATTTGGAAAAGATGAGTTGGTGTATCTCAGCTTCATCGTGGGGAAGGACCAGCAAAGGATAGATCCAAGCAAGGTGACAGTGATCACGAAGTGGCTGACGCCTAAGACGGTAACGGAGGTGTGAAGCTTCATGGAGGCTTGCTAGTATTTGGACAAGTTTATTCGACAGTTTTCTATTTATGCGACACCCCTACATGGCCTTACTAAAACAAGGGTTCAGTTCGAGCGGAGGCGGACGCATGAGGAGGCTTTTCAGTTATTGAAGAGGAAGATCTCGGAGACACCAGTGTTGGCATTGCCTAATTTGCAGAGGACATTCAAGGTAGAGACCGACACTTCAAGTTATGCTATGGGCGTTACGTTGATACAGGATGGAAAGCCGGTAGAGTACCATTCTGAGATATTTACAGGTGCTATTCAGAATTATTCTACTTACAATAAGGAGTTTTATGCGCTCTACCAGATAATAAAGCATTGGAGGGTGTACTTTTTGGGTAAGGAGGTGATTGTGCACTCGGATCACAAATCATTAGAGTTTCTACATGCCCAGACGAAGCTACAGCAGGCACAACATATGAAGTGGATATCCTATTTGATGGCGTTCAACATCGTCATTAAGTACAAGAAGGGGGCGACTAACAAGTTGATCGATATGCTATCTTGACCGTCAGTGAGAGCTTTGTTGGTGGCGACGCGTATTCAGTCATTGGTTCCTTTGGAGTATGTGCAGATATACGCATCCAACAGAGACTTTAGCAGTGTGTTCGAGCAGGTGAAGGCTGGTCGGAAGGGGAAGTATGAGCTAGGAGCAGATGATTTGTTGTATCGTGGGACGTCGTTTTGCATTCCGGAGGATAGCGATCGATTGCAGTGGATTAAAGAAGCACATACATCACGTGTGCAAGGTCATTTTAGGATTCAGAAGACGCTTCTCATTCTACGACGTGTGTAAGCTATGTTACATATCAAAGCATTCTAACATAAAAAGAGGATTGTATCTACCGTTGTCAGTGCCTTCTAGACAGTGGGAGAGTATTTTTCTGTATTTTTTAGGAGGGTTGTCAACGACCAAGCGCGGGCATGATTACTTGTTCGTTGTGGTGGACCAGTTCAGCAAGATAGTGATCTTGATTCCTCGCAAGAAGATCGTGCCGGGAGCGGATGCAGCGCAATTGTTCTTTAAACATGTGTGGAAGCACTTTGATTTGCCCAGTTCGATTATTTCGGATCGTGATAGCAAGTTCCTCGGGCACTTTGGGATTCCTTATGGAGTTTGATGGACACTAGATTAAAGAAAACACAATCTTTCATCCACAAACAGACGGGTAGACGGAAGTAGTCAACCGGACTATGATTCACATATGTTGCGGGGATATAATTCTAGACATCTCAAGACTTGGGATGAAAGCTTACCATATTTTCAGTTTGCTTTCAATCGGGCTATTCATGGATCTTCGGAAAAGTCACCGTTTGAGACTTGTTACGAGTTCCTACCTCCAAGTCCGTTCGATCTAGTATTCTCTAGTGAAGCTAACGACCGACGGCAAAGAAGGAAGTGAAAGAAAGAAGGCTCAGCGATTTCTGAAGAAGATTGCGCAGATTCATGCCGCCGTTGAAGCACAATTGAAGAAGTCACAAGCGAAGTATAAGGCGAAACATGATCAACATCGCGTTCCTTCTAATTTTGATAAATGTGACATGGTGTGGCTGAAGTTAAGGAACAACTAAAGGGAGAAGGGAAAAAATTAAAGCCTATACGATATGGTCCATTCCGAATTCTCAATCAGATCAGTGACTACACCTTCAAACTGGATTTACCACCTTACTTAGGCATGTATTCGGTGATCAATGCCGAGTATTTGAAGTTGTTCGAGCCTCCATTGTTGGACAATGAGGATGACGACAAAGTGATCATGCCGCATGTTGAAGACTTGTGGTTTGATAGAGAAGAACCTTTAAAACAGGATTGTATTTTGGAGCGGAAGGTGACTACGACTAGACGGGGTACGAATGAGTCGTTTCTGGTTGGACGTCAAGGTCAGGTTCCTAGCAAGGCCAAGTGGTTCAACAAAGAAAGAGGAGCTCGAGAGTTTTCTCAACTGAAGTTCTAACTTGAACGAGACTTCAAGCTCCTAAATGGGGGAGCCATGATACGGGTATATCTTCTTTACTTCGGGAACTTAGCGATCCTCATGGGAGCTTAAAGATAAATGATTCTCATGGTTACTTGAGAATAGAAGCGTGGGCAGAGTCGGCGAAAAAGGTGAAAATCAGAAAAAACGACGAAAAACAAGAAGCTGACGAAACAGGTCTGGTCGGTCGACTGATAGGATAGCATCGGTCGATCAATGAAGCACTATCGGTCGACCAATTAGCCATCTTCAGTCGACCGATAGACTGACGCGCTACAGGGTTAAAAAACATAGTTATGAACGATCGACCGATGCATCCTTATTGATCGACTGATGGAGGCCGATCGGTCGATCGATATAGGTACATCAGTCGACCGATATCGGGTCTGGGCCGATCCTGATTCCTAGCTGGTTTTGGGTTTTAGGGTTTGTATAAATAGAAACCTTATTGATTTGGGATTTTTAAGCAGATACACATGAGATTTGAGAATAGAGAGATTTGTTCTTTATTCTAGAGAGATTGTGAGGAGATATTTGTACATAATTGATCTTCATAATCTAAAGAATGTATTTTCCTTCGCCATATCGAATTGTTCTTGTTTTTACTGTTTTTTTCTAAAACCCCACATTTGATAATTCCGCGATCAAAGGTGCTCGCACGGCGACTCGTATCAATATATATGCATATGCACACATACATACATACATATGTATCTATATATATATATATAATATATATGTATATATATATATATATACATATGTATATGTATCTACATATACATATTTATGTGTGTGTGTGTGTATAGATGTATGTATTTGTGTGTGTATTGGGAATTCCAAAATATCTAAAAAAAAGTACCTCGAGTAGTAGAGCGCCAACAATGATGATATCCTCACCATTTATGCATTAGGTGATTCAAAGGAGCTCTTCTCACATTCAGACGTGGATGGACTAAATGGAGAGCTATCCATAGGAAGCTTGGGTTGAGCGATGGGAAGACAGTTTGTGCCCTCGATATCCCGATTATTTTCTACACTTCCTACAGCAGCTAACTCAGACACGCTGCAAGTTGATTTTTCTGCACTTGCTGAAGATGATCCAGATGTCACAAGATTAAGTTGAATATCAGCCTTTTGAGCTATTTTAGGAGACAGAGTTGGCTCTCTTATGCCACAATCACGGTTAGAATTTGGAGAGACCGTCAACCACTTGAACTGTAAATTGTGCCCTTCCCAACATTTTCCACTCTGATAAGCCCTCTCAGCAAAATGGCGAGTGGAAAAGGTTATACAAGCTGAACAGTTTGCAGACGGTGATAGGCCTTCATTCTCAGTATGTCCTGGCTCTTCAATCACAACAGTTGAGATAACACCATACTGTGAAAAATGATCCTTGATAACAGCAACCTGTGAAGAACATTTAAAAAAAAATCGTACTTAGAAAAGAGAATAAGCTCGTAAATATTCCATCTGTAGACATATATAGAGAAGAAAAGATGGTGGATGATGTTTCATCCATGCACACATGAGGCAAAAGTAATTATCCTTCCTACTGCAGCAGTTGTTCTTTACAGATGAAAACATACATATCACATGTTAGAAAAATTCTAGTACATCAATGAAACTGGATGCAGCAAATATGGCTGCTTTGAAACAGGAAAAAGAAGAAGAAAAAGATCAAACAGAACGGAAGATTCACACAAAGAAGATTAAGCACACATGCACATGAGGGGGGAAATAAATCCAAAAAAGGAGTATTAAGGGAAAGAATATGAAGACAAATAGTCGCAGCTACACACTTCAAATGATGTTTTGTCGAAAATCATCAATTGCAAGTGAAAGAGTTAGAAATCTTGTGCCTATCCTGTCTTGGTTAGGGCTTCTCCAAAGCAAATAATTTAATAAACATTCAATTGACATGTACCCAAATAATGGTAAACCATTCCAGGCCCTCATCCACTAATCTGGCGCATAAAGGAAGTATTACCTAATAACAACAATATTTCCCAAGTGAATATGTTTTCCGTTCCATCAATATCGTAACAAGCAAGCTCATTACGGTTTACTCTTCAAATAGAAAAATATTAAATATGCAAGTAGACTAACTGGAAACCTACAAAAGAAAACCTCTGGGATACAAGAATCTTGTTTCTACCATATGACATTTTATACCTTGTCCTCAAGAACATCTAAAATCTATGTTTTGAAAGACGCAAATGAAACATTTCCAGGCATGCCTCAATACATTTGTGAGGAAAAATGCCTTGAAGCGAATATAAGGCTCATTGGACATTGGGTGCATGCTTCAATATACATGAGGCGCGATGAAAGAAACACAAGCCTCGCAGTCACACCTTATTCTCCATTCACATGAGGTGTGTACTTCCTAAGCCAGATTAAAAGAAAAGACTTCTTTTAGCCAATTGGAATATATGGTTGGATGAAAATCTACACGATTGGATGTTAAGAGAAAAGATTGTGTCCTTAAATTTATTTGGTCTACTTGTTTTCAGTATTGCTATATACTTACAAGCATCAAAAGTAAGATAATGAAAATTTTGTAAGGCCTATGACTCCCTTCATTAAGGAGGCTTGATGCTTCATCTCACAGTTCACGTCGTACCTTTGCCTATGTAAACCTTGTCTACTACTTAAAAAGAAGATTTAGATATTTAAGTTTAATATTTTTTCATATTATAGGTATTAGATATTTCTTCCTTACAACTGAAACTATAAATGATGATCCATGAATATAGCATACAGTATCATGATGCCACTAATACCCAATTGCATTATAAGTTGGGATGATTTTGACCTAACAAAATATGAAGAGGACTTGGGTTTGCCTCAAAATTATATAAAAATCAACCCAACAACCTACCAAAGACTATCTAAAATTGACAACAATGACAAACTATTTTCATAATGCTGCCACTACCTCTAACAAATAATAGTACTTGAATTTGTCATGTCATAGTAGAAAGTAAACTATAGTCAGTTGCTATCTCCACAATAACAAAACCAACCCACTACCGCATTAAATAACATTAGATACTGCCCCTATTTTAACTAATAAACTAAACTATGGAAGATAAATAAAGTGATGAATAGACATCCCAGGTAAGTTACATGATTTTCATGTGTGAATGTGGAAGAAACTCGATGGACACACAGCAGAAGGTTGTAACTTACACTTGCAAAATCAGTAGGTAAAGGAGGAAGAATTCTAAATGAAGTAGAACGGTTGTCCAGCTTAAATCTGTTTGACAATGGCGCTTGCAGAGAACTTGTTGTGTTCTTCAAGGATTGTTGCAGAACAGTTGAATTTGTCTTTGAAACATTTGTAATATGAACCTCTTCGCTCTTATTTTTCTTTAATATCTTCTCAGTCACTTGGATTAGGTTGCTGGGAACTGCAGCTTTATCAGCTTCACTAGCTATATCAACTTTATGTCTCTTAGCAGCCTGCTCAGAAGTCATATCCCCCTTCTTGTTTGAAATAGCCTGCAATAAAGATGTTAAAGATTTCGTGCAATCTAATAAAGACAATGAAAATTAAATCGTAGAGTTGGAATAGGCAATTTATTGTAACTAATAGAGGTACAAGTTAAAACTCTTTCAACCATGTATCATGTTAATTTATAATGATAACGATGTGTGTGAAGATAGTAGAGAATATAGCAATGCCGATGCTCTAAAGAAAAGCGGATGGAGTGAAAGATGTTAAATCTACTTTTTAAATTCAGCATGAAAATGCTATGTAGCACAAACATTTCTACAATGAAGTCATCCCAAAATTGTTTTGGTACCATGTTGGACACCTCGATAAATGTATCACAACAAGAACACTTTTGGGACACTTCTACATATGACAACTCACATTATATAATACTAGCATTATTGCACGTGCAATCGACATTAAAACTTAACTATTCTAATTGGTTATGACATATTTATTACTGTACTTATTTACATGGAAAAGAACTTTGCCATTTCATATTTATACCTTTTTATAATATACAATATTATATTATAGATATTGAATTAGCAAGCTTTATGATATGATTTAGAAAGTTTTAGAAATAAAGAAAGAGAAAAGAAAAGAAAAACTTCTGTGAAATAACCAAATTTTCCTCGTATGTTTAGTGAGATGAAGGACAATTTTTCCCATGTCCTTCAAACTTTTCCTACCCTCACTAAGTTTTTAATATAGTAGTGTGGATATCTTTTTTAGAGCACTTTTCGTAGGACATTGCACACATGTCCCATATTTCTCATGCATTACTTTCTTCACTGTTACGTTTGATATTGCAAAGGTTGTCAAAAAAATATTTGATTTGTATAAACAAGTATATTTTCAGGTATGTTTCCATTAAAAAAGGCTAAATACCCATATTGGTATTTTAATTCCACCCCATTTATCAAGAAGGTATTTTAATTAGGCAAACCTGCTTTAAGACATTTTAATTGATTCAACTTACCAACAAGGTCATTTTTCTCGTCGGCGACCAGTTTTCCGGCGAGAGCTTGTCACGTACGTGGCACGTGATGAGTTAAAACTATTTTTTAGCTGCTTATGTGGCACAGATCTGTCCTATTTTGGGTGAATTGGGATTTTCAGAGTGTTAATTCCCGCCTTTAAACACTGTCACGTCAGAAAATCCGTGCCACATCAGCAGCTAAAAAACAGTTTAAGTCATCACGTGCCACACACGTGACGAGCTCTCGCCGAAAAACTGGTCGCCGATGAGAAAAAGGGCCTTGTTGGTAAGTTGAATCAATTAAAATGCCTTAAAGCAGGTTTGCCTAATTAAAATACCTTCTTGGTAAATGGGGTGGAATTAAAATACCAAAATGGGTATTTAGCCCATTTAAAAAGGCTTATAGATTGGGGACTTCAAGAAAACTTGAAGGATCAAGGCTTATCCATTTGTAAAGTTACAAAAATGTGTTAGGCTAAACCTTATCATATGTGTTACTACTACTACTACAACAAGACTTTATCCGAAATGTTTTCTACACTTAACACGCATGTATATGTTCGAATATTTATATTACCAAAATTATATGCCTGGAGTTTTGGGTGCATTGACATGTCTAGTGTATGTGTTTTCTACACTTTGTTACTTATACATACAAGTGTCAAGTTGTTGTGTCCGCGCCTCCTACTCTTTTAAGAAATTGCTATGCCCAAGTTAGTATCTTTGTCCATGATTCTTAGATGAAGTGTTTATTCATGTTTTATAAAAAGAAACTTTTACCAAAACATCAGACTCTATCAATCTGACTTCAGCATCTTCATAATTAAAGATGACGGCTTTTAATAAAGATGACTACAAAATTCATTACCATGTTATGAAATACATGACTTTTAGTTGCAGGTCATAAACTTTTTTTATTTTATGAAAACAAAAGATACTTCTGTCTTGGCACCTATATACTAACGAAAGTTCAGCACGATGACAAACTAACTTACTAATTAAACCAGCTTCCCAATGACAGACTTTAGTGGATTCGCTTGGTCAGTGCTTTATACAATGACCTCTGTTTTATTATTATCCCTTTGTAACATGAGTTTTGCAGGTTTCGATTGATTTTTTTCCTAAAAAATGAGTGTGGAACATAATTGATTTTGCTACCATTTCTTGTCAAACAGAAACTATGATCACACTTTCACTGTAACCAAAGATAAAAATTTATTTTGAGGTTCAAAGAATATTACTTGTTTTTCAAATTTATCTAACTGGCGCTTGAAGTCATCACGCTTCTTAGCCAAAGTCTCTTGCTTCCTACGAAGTTCTTCCAAAAGTTCCATACTCTCCACCTTCTTTTTCACAGGAGGTGCTGGTTTTGGGGAATTAGTGGTGAGACCCTTTACAGGTGCAGCAACAGATATTGGTGTCTCAGCGGCCGATATAGTACTCCTCTGAGCTGAGATAGGAGTTTCTTGTCCTCCATTAGCATTCGGCTGTTTAGATGGAGCAGAAGTCTTCGCAATGAAAGGGAACTGTGCAGATGTATTGTATCCACTACTTTGTCCACTGTCGAGAATTCTGTCACGATTCGCCCAGGATAGTTTAATGAAGCGGTTACCCATGACAGCGTCAGGAGATTTAAGGGCAGCTTCCGCTTCTTCCCTTTTAGAGAACTGCACGAAAGCTTTTTCACTGTTCAAAGGAATATAAATATCAATAACTTCACCAAACTTTTGGAAGTGTGAAAAGAGGGCATCTCTCCTATTACTTTTTTGAGGAATACAATTTACATAGAGGGTTCGTAAAGCTTTAGTAGATGCCCTCCCACCCTTATGTGCAGAACCTATGTGTGATTTATCAAATGGTTGAATTGTTGCTGCTTTTGAACCAATCTCCGTCATACCAGTGCCTTTTCCTTGATTGATAGCATGAATATCATCCATAGCTTCTCCACGATTTTCTTTCATCTCATTTCCAAGCGTGCTGGTTCCGGTCATATTACCCATTTTACTTCCTACATTTGACTTGCTTGCAGAACCAATCCGGCCCCAAACTGATGAACCAGTAATTTGTGAATTATTACCAGTGACACGGCTGGGAACTTCCCTTTCAATGCCATCAGATCTCAAACTCTGGTGGGCAGATAAATCACCATCCCATGAAGGGTCATTTTCAATATTTGGTGAAGGAAGCCTTAAGGGGGAAGCAGATGCATTAGAACGATCATTATTCCATAAAGGCTGATCAGGGTCATATACATCAGCATCAACACCAGCAGAAGTAGATGGGATATCGTTCAATTTCGGTGCATCTTCCGTTGCTCCAGATCTACTAATTTTACTGGATGTGATCTTAGCATTTGCCAATTGACCTGAGGCGGCAGAAGCCGGAGGTACAGATCCTGAACCAGCTTGGATTCCCAAAGCATTGGAATTTGAAATAGAAACAGGAAGATTGAATTGTGATAGGCTCTGTAGCAAAAGAAGTTATTAGTTAAGACAGATAACAAAATGAGATACAGAATGGTAAATTTATTACATTCCAATTTAATATTTTCAGAAACAAAATGAACTGAAAAGGAAATTTGAAATATTTAAGGATTTATACTTCAAACATAGTCATATCCTCAATAAAGAAGATAAAGACAGTAGAAAGCAGAAGACCAGATAAACTACTGAGAAGAATGCAAGAGACATGTTCTTACTCATCTTTGCTTTCAAACAAATGGTAACGTAGGGGTGGCAAGCGAATGTCCAACCTGCTGACAATGGGTAGGCGTGGGTATGGGTCATAAATGGGTACCCGAATTACCCATGGGGTCAGGTAAGGGTCAACCCCATTTACGTGAACTACCCAGTTATCTATCTATCTAGCATAGACATTTCTTATTCATAGAGATGGGACATGAAGGACTTCTCTGGTTGAGAAGGAGGCTCCAATGTTATTCTTACATTTTTACTAACCATTTCTGACTCTTGGAAATTTAGATGATACTTTGCGGTATAAGCCATGTTGTGGCAATTTGAAGTTGTTGCTTTTGACAGGGTTGCAGATGGCTATTTTGAAGTTACATTTTTGTACAGGGTTTACTACTTAACATGCAGAATCATGTCATATTGTAACCGTAAGTTTGATTTTTGTGCTATGTTGAATTATTTTGAGGCTTATTGGATGTTTATTAGTGTCACTAAGTTGCGCCACTGCCCTCTCCTGCACTTTCGACTACCAATGAGCACATGAGTCATTAAATTGGTTGAATGAGTTATATAGGTCAACATAAGACTTTCAGTCTTTTGGTTTTCCTAACCTGACCTAATTATCCTGTTCATCAATCTTTGAATGGGCTGTGCTGGGTCAACCTGAAAATAAATTGGGTTGTATGGGTTATTTAACTTGACCTGTTTATTACTCAGATATTTATAGGTCAAGCTTATATGGGTTGACTGTATGGCAACCTCAGCCAACCACACTGGACCAGGCCCAACCCTATTGTCATCCTTGTTAATATCTCTGTGTGACTAACATAAAGGAATTATTTATTTGCCAAAAAAAAGTAGGATAAAAACATCAAAATCCACAAATGATACGTCTTTTCATTGAGGATTCAATTAAAATATAAAGTAAACTAAACACCCCAAAAAGAAAAAAGAAGGAAGATAAAGTGATAACTGATAAAAATACAAAAAAAAAAGGTCAATTCCTCGAGATGCAAAATGATTAGTGCTGATTTACCCATGCTATTTGAAATATAAATGAAAATGATTAAATTTTATAAAAACCTGAACATCTTCCACAACTATTCGATTCAAACCATGTTCCATCGGGCACATATCCCCTCTTAGGCAAAATCCCCGCTCCTCAAAGTCTCTACAACGTTGACGAGGGATACCAAGATTCAGGGGAGGGTTGATACTTGGTCCTAGAGCACCTTGCAAGCCAAGTGGGTTAAGTGGATCCATAATCCCATTGGACATTCCAGGGATGAAGCCAAATCCACCCCAAGATGAACTTTGCGTACTCCCAGCACTTGGTAAGCCTGTTCCAACAAAGAGATTAGGATGTGCAGGCCCTTGTGAAGCCATCTGAGAAGCAAAATCAAGGGCGTCATGTGGGTTAAATCTTGAATCATGTTGATTCCAAGGGACAGTACTTCTTGCTCTTCCTCTACCTACAGGACGACCAATTGATGTAGATAAATCATAGCGTGGGCCAGGATCATTGCGAAATGGCTGGCTGAATCTTGTTCGCGGGCCTAAATCTATTGGAGCCCGCAGGAGTGGCGCCAAATCAGAACGGCGCTTATCGAATTTTGTTGAGGTATTCCTATCCAAACTAGGGTTGTATTCTTTATGAATCTCACTTAACTGGAGATCAGTATCAAGTAACCTTTTTCCATTATCATAAGGCTTGTTCCGCTTCCTGTTAGATCTCCTAAATGATTGCTCTTGGGTATCAGTTTCAAGAGAATTCGGCCGAGCCTCTCTTCTACGATGTTTATGATTGCGGTCATCATCATCATCACTAACTTCTTTATCTTCGGGGTCACTGGACGATTCTGAAGAAGTAGAAGAATGATTCACTTCCTCCAGTGAAGAATTTTTCAAGGGATGAATTCCCCCTATAGGCAGAGCCTCAGATGGTTCCAATTTCTGGATAACATCCAAATTCCTGTCTATTTTTACAATTGAACCATCATCAAGTGCCTGAAACAACTTCGCAGTGAATGATTTTGCTCCTGCAAATATGACGAAGAGTGAAAGTATAAATGGCAAAGGAAAGAAAAATCTCTAAGCTGTTAATAAAAGTCAAATCTAATTGCCTTCCATATGAGTAATCGTTGAAAGAAATTGAAAAATAGTAATTAGCAAAATCATTAATGCTTAATCAAAATGCTTAACGCTCATCTTTCTTCGCAATGGTGTAAACCACAGGAACGTGAATTAGCAGAGTTTTCTGTGCATAAGTAACAATCAAAAGATTTAACTGGTACTTGACATAAAAGGACATATTTAAATAGGCATCAATGCTGGATGATAACTTGATTTTTTTATTAAAAAAATAAAGAAAGTGGAAAGTATCAATTGAGAAACCATATGACAAAGCCCAATAAATTTAAAAAAGAAAATAAAATTACCCTCCTTTTATTAGAAAAACCAAAATACCAGGATAATGAGCACATATTTCCACAATGCCATCAAGAAGAAATAAGAATCAGAAAAACGTCATCCTAACCAAAATTTGAAGGATAGGCTCGTTTATCAATTGAACAAGTAAAGACCAAGAACTACCAAATGAAGGGATATATATATTGCATACCGTTGCCCAAAAATTCCACCAAGTTATCTGCGCATAGTTTCTGCAGCTCCTTTGAAGGTTTGTCTTTATTCAACAATGCTACCACATACTTGGCAAGAATCACAGGATCGGCCTGAGTCCTATTATAACAAAGCAACAAGATAAATTGTTTTGGGACAAGTTCAGAACTTTTAGACAAATGATCTACAAGTAAAAATACATACTCAAACATTAAGAAATGTATCAGCATTTATTTATGAAAAATCTTCATTTCGGTCTTAACCCCATTAGAAAATAAGTCCATTATAAATATTTATTGAAATGCAAGAAGTTTCATCAACAAAAGCTAGTCTATAGGTACATGATATAAATGAAAAATGTTGTTATTCTCAAAGATGCTCTTATGTTTTGTGCCAACATTTTAAACATGCTGCAATTGGATAGGGATATTTGTTTTCTAAGTTGTCATTTTATTTTTGAACATAGAACTCCAGTAGCAAAAATTAAGGAGGAGGAAAAGAAGACAAGGAAACTCTCTGGTCAAGACATTGTTTCTTACCACATCAAGAAAGGAAGTGCAGAAAATAATAGGAAATCTACAAGGTTAACCACGACGTATCAGTTATGGAGATATTTTAGTAGGAAACAATTTTATTAGAAGTTACCAAAAATTTAAAAACAATTAAGGATGTAGGTAGCTCAAAGCTTCAACTAGGGTTACCAGAAACCCCTTGGGCCAGAACCAAATCCAACCCGGACTGTACCGTGTACCCACTTATGGATGGTAGATAGATGGCAGATATCAGGTATAATGAACGTGCATAAAATCAGGCAGGGTATGCCCATATGGGGCATCATTTGAATAGACCTGACCCAGATGCATCACATACCATTTAGTCACGGAACAACGACGAATATCGTATAAGTTGGTTGAACCAGACCCACACATACAAGATCCAAACCCGTCAACTTACCTGTTTGTCTAAATTGAAATGATTTACTAGTGCATAAGGGTAGCTAATTTAACCTATTTATCTTGAATTGAAATAATTGTGTAATGTATAAGGTTAGCTAATCTAACCTATTTATCTTGTTTCATTTCCCTAAGTTGGAACATCCTTTATGCACTTGACTAACCCAGATCCAAAGCATATACCTAATATTAGGGGGGATATTTAACTTCTGTGTGGCTCCAAAAGTTTACTCCTGTTGGAACTACCTCAGAGAGATGGGTCTCATTTTCTCAACGTTGCCCCCATTAAGCTTGAGGTCAGATCATAACCCTGTTGTCTCTGTTGTTTCTAGCTCTATTTTAACCTCTATTTTACGTATCGTTTCAGAACTTCTTATAAGTTCTGTTTTCATGATGTGGCCCTCTTTTTTCAGCAGCAATTTATATGACATCTTCAAGAGCATACAGGTCACAAAGTTATCCGCAAGTATGTGGGATTTTTTGGGGGGGATGAGGAAATCCACATAAGTTTGTAGAAATGTATCAACAAGATCAGTGGATGACTACTGCATAGTCACAATGTTAACTTCAAAGAAACTTAGAACATAACATATAGGTTTCAAGAGGCTTAAGAGTTGCACTCACAATCTGGATTTGAAGCAAATTAATTTTTAATACAACAAACTGTTTGAAAAAGACTAAAACCAGAAACAAGTTAGAGTTAGGTTTTGTGTTCCTTGTCTGTTCAGGTAAGTTGCATCATAATGGTCAGAAGTCTTTAAAGAATAGGCACCTGTCTGGTAGCTAACTATTCGACAATTTTAAGTCCATTCCTTTTTCTTATCAATTTGTATTAGTGTTACAAATTGCCGTTACAAACTTCTCATGATCTCCAACAAAAGGTTCCATTCACAAACACTTGAACAATATCCAGCCCCAACATATAAAACCTAATGGTTAAAGAGGCAAAGACCATCATCTAATCAGAACATATTCAGAAACCAATAAGTCTTATAGTTTATTTTTAGTTCTATCCAAAATCTCAACATCCTCATCTAGTCCACAGTGCCAACTGAATATACAAAACATGTTTAACGTCACCCTTAAGAGTTAATTAGAACCCAGTACTTGAGGGCTTCCTGTTACTACTCACAAGGTTCTCATTACTGATTTTGTGTCTCTATTCTACACTCCACATACTTGCTACAATCAGTAACACATGCATGGCATGAAAAAGTTCGATCAAAAATACAAAAGAGGTTTAGGGTTACAATCGGGACCTCATTGAACCGACTCCAAAGCTTATTTTAGGGTTCCTCAAGTAAAAGAAAATCAACAAATTAGGTTTCAGGTGGTTCTTACATTGGCTTGAGATTATCCACGAGGTAACTGGTACATAAGGCCTCCTCATGAACTCAGGGATGATGAGTGCTAATAAATAAGCTGGGCGGTGATAAGTGCTACTAGAGTTATAGATGTGGGGGTTGCCTAACTATTAAAGGAGCAGAATTAATCCTTTTGTTACTAAATGCCATTCTACCCAATATCTAAAGATCCTCATCCAGTCCATGATGCAAACTGAGTATATAAAAATTTCACTTTTTTTAGGGTTTTAAAGATGAAAATCCAAACTAAACAACCCAGAATTTGAGGGCTTGCCGTTACTATTTGCAAGGTTCTTACTACTAATTCATGATTCTATTCCATACTTCAGCTCGATTAAAATCGTAAAATCGGGGTTTAGGGTTACAATCAGGTAGGGTTTCTTGAACAAAAGGAAATCGAGAAATTAGGGTTTTAGGGTGACGCTTACAGAGGCTTGAGGTTATCGACGAGGTAGCCGGTGAGCGAGGCCTCCTCAAATTTCATGTCTTTTACCACTCGCCTTCTTCATCGGAGGAAAACAAAACCCTAGGCAACCATTAGAAGGGGAAGAAGATGATGGCTGTGATGGCAGGACGGTAATTATTGAGGAAGGCGAGGGATTTTTATGTTCGGATAGGGCCTATCTCGGCGTTTCGGAGACGAGAATGGGGAGCAGAAATTTGGTGGAAAAATAGGAAAAAAGAAATTACGAGGGCATCAACATTGGAAGAGCTGCAACGAAATTGAAGAAATAATATGTTTTTCTGGGTATATATTTGCAGTAACAACCTTTCTAGTTTAAGAAATGACGATTCCAGTTTCCTATATGATGATTATTTAATCATGTAACCGTATAAAATACATATGTTTCCTTAGCCTTATAATGAGCCTTAAACGTATTAGTTTGGTAAATTCATCTTCATAAACTAGTGAAATTGCAGCAACTTAAATTAATTTGATGGTAATTTACCCTTTTCAAGAGAAAGAGATCAATGTATCCTCACAAGCGGATCCACTTCCATGGAGGTGTTTTTTATGTGTCCTTTGAATTAAATTGAGAAGTTATAAAGCTCTAATGCACGTGACACGCTGTCTATGTAACCAAACCATCACAATAAGCTTTCATTACCATACGGGCTCATAGATTACACATGACCCGTCAATAGGGGTGCCAAACTGTATCCGTATTCGAGGAAATATCCGTAACCGTATCCGTTAGGATACGAATATGGTTACTCAAATCTATTACCGATAGGATATGGTTGCGGATATGGTTTTGTAGTGAAATATCTGTATCCGTATCCGAAAATATCCGAATACATATTGGTAATACTCTTACGATAGTTTCGATTCTTAGATTATGGATTTGTGGTTAATTTTGATGATCAAGATGTCTAATCTTAGCTTTTCAATCATAATGAACATATTAACGAACTCTTTTTGTATCACATGACTATATTTTTCTGAATACTATCTAGTTTTCTCATATCATTTTTGTATCCGCATGCATATCCGTTTATATATCCGCATCTAAATCCGTAACCGTATCCGATTTTGGCGGATATGGATATGAATTTTTCTTGCCGACATATATCCGTATCCGTATCCGAGATGGGTAAGCGGATATGGATATGGTAAGTGCTATATCCGAGCCGTATCCGCTCCGTTAACACCCCTACCCGTCAACCATACATGAGGGTTACAGTTCTGATTTGGCAAACCAAAAAACCCTTCCTAGGCTATATATTTTATGATTGAGTTACTAAAGTGTGTTTATGTACTCAATATTTGTTATTTATGATGTATTTGGCAACATTACTAATGATGTGATTATGTAGTTTTTTTTTTAAAATATAAAATGACATCCTCACGTTGTAGAGTTTTTTAATATTGATTGTATGGTGACACTATTTTTTAGAAATTCTAAATACACTAGCGAGTATCAATTAAGTGAGTTTAGGGGCTGTTTGGTTGTTGTTGGTAAAGTTGTGTATTTATGACAACTTGGAAAGTTGTTGTCCACCTCATCAATTTTACTTTTATACTTTTCTTTGTTTGTTTTTGATTCCATTGGAATCATAAAAACACTTGTTTGGTTTGCAAAATGAAACTTTAATTGTTTGTTTTGAAAGTGTAAAAAATGGTCCCTACTCAAATGGTCATATTGGTTGGAATTATTTTTTATTATTTTTTCCTAACTTCAATGTTAGCTTTCTCCTAAAATCATGTCTTTTTTTTTCATGAAATCACTTTACAAGCCACATCAGCATATGAAATCACTTTACACTATTTTTACAACTACAAACAAACAATTGAAAGTGATGAAAGCTGACGCTGGGACCCACTTTTTTACACTTTACATCCTTTTACATAGTAAAAACATACAACCAAATAGCCCCTTAATTATTTTGTTGGGTCCTCGATAATATACAGTGAATCTAATCTAATTAAATAATAGTAAAGTGCTGCTGAGTAGCTTTTCGAACTTGCAAAAATATGAGGATTGGAAAATCAATCCATAAGCATCAAAGCTACTAATTAGGGCATCCTTAAGATTAAATAACTTAGGACTGTTCGCCACCTGATTTGAAGGTTTATACATAACAATAAAAAAAAATTCAAACCACGCCATTTTCTATAAGAGTGATTCTTATATGATCCTTTATTTATTTTAAATATTTATGATTTATATTAATTAAATAAAATTTACTGTGTAATTTGTTTATACATCTAAGATAAATATTACACGGGCTTAATATCAAGAAAACCCCTTGCTTTGAATGTTTATTAGATGACTTCTCATAACTTTTAAAATATCAGAAAACTCCCTTTTAGTTCAGAGGTTTATTAGAAAAACCCCTTAACTTTTAGTTTTATGAGAAAACCCTAAAAAAATGTAACCATAGTTTTTACTGGGAAAAACATCCTCTTGTGCAAATTTACCCACCCATGTGAAAAATTACTGCTAATGCCACTAGGGGGATTTTCTGATAAAATATTAAAATTAACGGGCGTTTTCTGATAACCCTAAACATATTTTGAAAGATGTGGGCGATTATCTGATAATCGCCCAAAGTTAAGAGGTTTTTTCTGATATTTAGCCTTCTACATGATATAAGGTTGCGGAAATCGTACCATGTTATATCTTTGGGCCCATTGGGGCATCGGCCCAATTCAAGCCCAGACAAAACCAACGCCCTGCTTTATGACCAAATCGCCGTCTCCGTCTTCGTCTCCGGCAACTGAAAGGGCCGAAAGAAAT